GATCTGCTGGGAATGTGTTACACTGTTTTCTTGACATGCTCTATTGTTGAATCATAAAAAGAAGGTTGTAAGCAGGAGACTTGGTGTCTAAGACAGGGGAGATAGACCACATTCCATACCCCCACCTTTCAGAAGAGCAGAAAGACAGGGAGCCGAGGTCATAACTTAGGCGCCGTAAGAGAGAAAGAATGTAATGTTTAGGCTTTTACGACTAGGTGGGGGCCACCAGAGACTATAAGAAGCTGAATAACCCGTCACCATTTTGAGACTGCTGTGACCCTCTTCAGGCAGGTCTCCCCATCATGATGGTCCTTATGCTCTTAAGTGTTGAATTGTATGGAAATAAATGATTGTTGATTGAGCATAAATACACCGAGTATTGTCCTTCCTTCAGCCCAAAGATTCAAAGAATTGGGAAATTTCAACAAAAGTATTGAGTTGTATTTTTGTTATTGACCAAATACTTATTTTCCACCCTGATTTACGAATAAATTCTTTACAAATCCTACCATGTGGATTCATGGATTTTTTTTTCACATTCTGTCTCTCACAGTTGAAGTGTACCTCTGGTGCAAATTACTGACCTCTGTCATCATTTTAGGTGGGGGAACTTGCACAATCGGTGGCTGACTAAGTACTTTTTTGCCCCACTGTACTTCATCTAGCAGGCATCCAGATGGCATCCTAGTCAGATCCCTTATTTATCTGACTCCTTTAAATGCGGAGCAGCAGCTGCTCTACTCCGAGCTCCTCATCCTGTCTCTAAGGGACAGCCCAGCCATCCTTGGAAGTATGGATGGGAATTGATCAGAATTTATTGATTCTGATTCCATTATCAATATCAGCTGTTGTCACCATTGTTAAGTAGGATCTCAAAGACATTACATTTGTTCAAATTAATTACAGACTGTACGCTCAAAGGTTTGTGCTCGTCTGTTTGTAATCTGTTGAAGTTCAGGGTCTGGGGTTGCCATTCACTCAGCTTTAACATCACTTTAGGTTCTTGGCTAGCTTAGCATTAGCATGTTGTCTATGCAGATACTTGCAAAGAGCCAAAGTTGTGTTAAGAGCATAGTACAGTTGTTTCTGTCCTGGATATCATTTGCACTTTAACACCCGCTGATTGTAGAGCAAGTGCAAGTGGATAAGTGGAATCGATAGGCAAACACATTAACGGTTCCAAGGACTTGGACTACTGGGAACTGTTTCTCTACAAGAACTTGTTATTGATTCCCATCCTTAATTAGAATGAAACTCATTTTTCTGCCAAATCTATCTTTAAAAGTGAAAGCCCAAAGAGGAACCAACATTTAAAATGAAAGAGGTAGGAACTGAAAAAAAAGGAGAGAATAAACTCAGACAATAACACATAGACAAAGAGGACATAGAGTAAAGGAAGTTACATTCAACAACACAAAGGCTTATACAAACAAGCACTTCCATAGATTTATTCAGAGGTAAGAGAAATGAATCTAAGCTAAACTTCAGGAGGAAATAAAGAATATGGTACTTACACTGTGACACCTGACTTTAAAAGAATCATGAGAAGAAAACAGACAATATGGTAGGGATGGTGTCACACACATTAAATTACTAATGTGTGTTTTTTAAAGGGAGTTCCTGACTTGATGAGTGGGAAAAATGACATTTTCCATACCTATGATTTGTTGCCAAAAAGCCACGCCATTGTTTATATAATAATTCATATAAATTTAATAACTTGAAAAATGTTAACCTCTAAAAACTGTAAGTATGTCTGTAAACTTCAATTTGTAGATACATTTCATCAAAATGTTTGTGTTTTGATGTGTATTTTCCTGAATTTGTATGCAGCACACATCCCCACATAGCAAAATTTGTAAGGCCCGGATCTGGCCCACACATTGTGCTTACACGTGGCACACATACCACAAAGAATGACGGCCCTTTGGTGGCCCAGATCAGGTTACCAGAGGTGGCCCACACATGGGCCAGCACAGGGCCAGTTGCAGACACACTGCTGGCCCTGTGCTGGCCCAGAACAGTTTCACCTCTGGCCCCAGATATCAGCCTAATGTGTACCTTAATCAAGCCATGTAATAACAACATGTGCTGGAACATAATAGAACAAAAGTAACATGACGAAACTGTGTTCAGACAGTGAATGGACTGATTCTTAACTCAGTGCTTCCTACCTACATTCGTACACATTCACACTCTTGACATGCAGACTGGAGGAGCCAGGGATCGAATCACTAAGCTTCTGATCAGTAGATGACCTGCTCTACCTCCTGAACTACAGCCACCCAGTGGTAAACATGAGTAAACTGTCACTAGGTTTTGGATAAAGTGTACACTCATAAACCTGTCAAACCTGCATTTGAAACGTTGGCTACCATAGCAGTATAGTATTGCAACATGGCATTTGGGTCTTCTAACTAAAATAGGAAAATAGGAACATAAATAGTGCCATCATTGCCAGACCTGGCCCACATCTGGTTGACATACACCCTGCCATGACACCAGTCAGTCAGAAGTGCCAGCTTGATCCCAGATCCGGGCCAGACCTATTTTCTATGAGCCTGGGCCACATACACCAAACCACATCGGGCCAAATGTGGCATGCCATCACATAAACAGTGCCATCTATGCCAGGCCTGGCCCATATCTGGATGACATATCACTTACCATGCCAGAAGTCAGCCAGCAGTGCCGGCTTGACACCAGATCCGGGCCAGACCTGTCTGCTATTTGGGCCCTTGTATGTCATCTGACAGTTCTAGCTTATTAAACTGGCAGGTCATAGTGACAAATAATGGGGTTTTGAGATTTTCCATCCAAATCCATCAGTCTGCAACTTCTGCTGTCACCCTGTTCCCACATTTATACTCAAAACATGTCAAATCTGTCAGCAAAACACCAAACACATGCCTGACAAAAATTCACGCTCCTCAGTGTGATTGCAGTTATCCATCAGTACATCCTCTTCTGTAATTTCTTTTATCAAAGTTCACTGAAAACCGTTTTTTTCAGCAAGTTTGGCAAAAAAAAATTCAAATAAGTATCTTTTACTATCAAGTCTACTGCTTTGTCAGTAAAGCTGTTGCTTGAGGCTGTCTTTCCTCCTCTCTCAACTGGAGAACAAGAAGGTAAATCAAGCCTCAAGTGGATTAGTGAACATGACTCTCAGACATGTTCACAAGGCAGTGTTTGAAATATGTTGTCACAACACTATTCCCCCAGCAGTCTGGCAAACCTCGTAAATCCCCCCGTATATTGAGGGGGGTCCATAATTCACCGAGCACCTGGGAGAAAGACAAAACCCAGCGTTCATTTCCTCTATTCAAACGAGTTTGTTTTCATCAGTTCGTATTTTGTAAGAAGATCAGTATAGTGTGGGAAGTGGGCTCCCTTAGCAGCCCTTTCTACACCCATCACCTCATCCCATGTCTCTTTAAATCCTTTAGTTGAATATATTATGTGAGATGTTCTGTAGAGAGTTCCAAGTTGTAAATGATTGAGAGGGCCAGCTGCCCTCAGTCGGCTTTTGTTAGCTACAAAGCAAACTTTCTGGTGATGAGGACACCAGAACCTGCATCTGGCCTGCATCATTATGTGTAAAAGTTCTCTTGGTCTCTCTTCCCCCTTTTTTTTTCTCCAGAGAAACGGTGAGGTATGAGGCGCTAACACTGCACAGGAATCATGTCAGGGTTTAGAGAAAGGACAGGATATCATACTGATGTATCCTGGTGCCCAACAGCAGCAGATGGAGAGCATGACATAAGCTCTCCCACAAAACGTCCAGAGCTGCCAGTACACACTGACTCTAACCTGGTCAGAACCCAGTTCAGTCAGTCGCTCGTCCAGCAGTCAACGTCAACCATCAATCAGTCCTTTTCAGCTCTGACTTACTCTGCTTCTGTCTGTGGTGATTTTTTGCTCTCTCCTTTCTCTCTGTTGCCCTGTGCTCTGATGAAAGACACTCTCAGAGAGGTAGCCAAGCTACTTGTCTTTGTTTTGACGTTTCAGTGGCTCTGCTGTGGATATGTTTAGAACTTCTTCACGTGATCAGTGTTAGTTCAAAGGCTTTAAAGCACCGTGTGGTTGTGTTTGTGGAGTTTGAAACTGGGGGCCTTTTCTGGAGAATTAGTGAAGGGGTCTTTGATGCAGCTTGACTGCATTCAGTATGAGCCTGACCTTTAATGCATCACCTAGTTTGGTGGATCACAGCCACGCTGAGGACCAGAAGTGAGCAGCAAACAAGTATCTGCTACCAGTCTCCATCAGCTGTGCTCCAAGACTGTGTTGTGTTTGGATGTAACCCCACTCACTCACTGGTTTTGTGCTCTCTCCGTCTTGAGTGCTTCACCTCCCCCCTGCTTAATCTTGAAACCATCAGCTCCCCAGTCTGGTTCTCTTTAAATTGAATTTGAAATCTTCATTCTTTTTATAAGCTGGGTGAGTAAAACCCTGAAAGGCCTTGTGGATTTCAGCATCCGCTGTTCTGAGAGGATTCAGATTTATTCCCTGTTTTTTTTCAGTTGTTTCTAATCATGGACAGAAGCGTCCCTCAAACAACAGGAAGGGCTGGAACAAAAGCAAGAAGTAAAGGCGGGGAAGGGAAATAGTTTATTGCCTTTACGTTTCCTCTTCTTTCCAGTGGCAAGAAAGGGAGGGATATCATCGTCTGTTTTGTCGCTCGTAGAAGTTTGAACCATACATTTTTGTTTCTGTTTTTTTTAATGCGTAATAGAATCAGCATGGAAGGAAAAGGAAGAGCATCCACAGATTATAATTAGAGCTGTAGTCTGTGTAAGTATGTACTCCTTCCTAAAGGCACTAGTACAGGACTTTGTGTGTTTTGTTTTTACGTGTGCATCTGCTTTCTGCCTGACTCTGGGTGTGTTGGGTGTATATGTATTCATACACACATACAGCACTTGTGTCTTTTGCTGTGCATGCAACAACTCACACCTCCCACTACCACACTGACCTCTCCTGCTTCCTCTTTCCTTCTGCAGGTCTGTATGAGCTGCTGGCGGCCCTGCCATCCCAGCTGCAGCCTCATGTCAACTGCTCTGAGGACAACACCTTCCTTCAGGATATGTTTGGAGAGAGAAGTCTCCACTCACTTGTTAAGGTACAACAAACAAATAGAGTTATAGGAATTTCGCCTACATATTTTTCAGAAATCACGTGTTGTTTAACTCATATATGCACGCACTGATAACTCTTAAATACACTTAAAACACTTAAGTAATTTCATTTAAGTGCTATACATATGAATACCTCAGTTTAACCAAGCCTAGCTTTAATTGCACATGTAGATTGTGTACAAAGTTTATTGTCAAGAAGGCAGACAACTAAATTAGTCACATAAAAAGTCTTGAAAAGAGGAGCCCCCGGCCTCCAAAGCAATTATTATTCATGAATTACAGTCCTATTGCACCATCTACCTGCCAGATCTTCTAATTCCTTCCTCTACCAGCAGGAAGGGGCCTGTGGTTTGGTTACTGCCTGTTAAACTAGATAGCTGCAGAGATTGGGGAGAAGGTTTGTCTGAAATCTTTCTCTGATTTTTGTTGTTAAATAGAGAACAATTTTCCCCCCTAAACATGGGGTAGTTTCCTGCAAATCGGCTTTCCATTCTTTATTATTCAGTAAATAAATGTAATAGCTGCTCGACTGCTGTGTCTGACTGATTAACTGAGCCATCCTAGTGAGCCAAATGGACAGACGGGCAGACTTTAAAACGCACACAAGTACTAAACAACCATCTCGTCTTACTCAGAAACCAGATGCAGCATTCAGGCTAACATCACGGACACACCATTAATAAACCTTAATTATCCTCTTCCTAAAGCTCGGCCACCAAATCTCCACAGTCCACCTTTATTTGGGATTTGTGTAAGGTTGTAGAGGGGATACGAAAGAATGGCTAAACAGCAGAGAGAAAACACACACATCAAGTTAATCTGACAGGCTTCCCAACCCAGGTCGCTCACTGGTTGTAATTGCCTCACCTGGGTAATTACAACCAGTTGTTGGTCACTCTGTCTGGAAGGAGAGAGACGGTCCAGAGGAGGAGGTGTCACAGATGGAGAGAGAAACAAGAAAGAAGTAGAGAATTCAGAGTAACATGAAGACTTAAACCAGACATATGCTCTTTCTGTCTCTCTCACCTGTACTCACCAGATGGTCGGGACGTCTCACATCCATCCTAATCCGATTATGTTACAGAGATGAAAGAATTATTGTCCGATATCATCTTTCAGCTTTTATTTACATCTGTTTGTTGCTAGAAAATATTCTCATGACACGAGCCAGGTGCTTATTTATATTTTAAAAGCCTCACTTGAATCCAAAATATATCCCCTTCCTTGCACTGTCTTACTTTGGATTTAGGCTGCCTTCCAAATATTTTCATTAAAGTTCAATGGTCGACTGCAGCCCAGAGTTACCGGATCAAGCACGTTGTTCACAAACAAGTACCTCTGAAATGAGCCAAAAGTGGCTAGATGATGATAGATGAAGCCAAATGCAAGGTTATGATAGGGACAGGGGAAGGAAGAAGGAAACTCCATATTGCAGCAGACAGGTCACAGTATGCTGTTGACTACTGAAAAACTTTTTGAACCATGTCAAGCACACTGGAGGGACAATTAAAACAAGAAGAAAGCTACAGGTCAACCAGTCCCTATTCTATCATTTTGTATTGTCTGTATTGGTAATCAAGGAAAATCCCACAGCCATTACTCCAGTTTCATCCATCCCTCCATCCATTCTCTGCTGCTTTTCAGAGTTGCGGGAGACTGTGGAGCCTATCCCAGCTGTCTTAGGGCGAGAAGCAGGGTACACCGTGGACAGGTCGGCAGTCTGTCACAGGGTTTTGCTCCGGGTCACTTTGAAAAAGATGTTCAGCTTGTAAAGGATGTGATGTGAAGTTTTCTGGGCAGAGGTCTTAAGCCTGCTTAAATACTATGTTTTATGTCTTCGGGTATTTTGAAAAGTCTCCAAAGTGTGCAACCCTGACCCTAAACATTACATTAGTTCATGTTAGCAAACTAGTGACAGATTATTTCAAACCAATAACTCAGTGGAAAGAAAAATAAAACTAGTTAGCCATAATGTTAGGGCTTATAGATGATGTTCACAAGATGCAGTTAGCACTGTTTTATATAGTGTTATAGAGTGATTTGACCCCCATTTATCTCAGGATTAATTCTGAGATAATTGGGGGTCTAAAAAAGTTTACAGCATGACAGGTTGCCGAAGCATCAACAGCAGTCCTAACATCCATCAGCATGTCCACAGGGGAAAAACATGTTTACCTCCACGACACGCCTAATGCACCGTGTTTTATTGCTGAGTAATAACGGCTTTATGCAGGATTTGAACTTCTAAGCTGACCTTGAAACATGACTGTTGTGCTGGCCAAGACAGAGTCCTAACACGCTGTGATTTATCTCGGCAGACTGTATGGATAAGTCCAGCTGAAATGGCTGTAGCTGTTTAAGGCCAAGATTTAAACTGGAATCTTGATGGGGAGAGACGATGTAAAGACATTTCACACGTCGTTGCGTCGCGTTTTCTTCACTGGAAAGTTATAAAAGTGATTTTGATGGGTGACATTTGGTGTTTGGGTAATGTTTTTGAATGACATCATGTTTTGGATTTTGGTGTTGGTCCCTGGTGATTATCGAAGCCAGATGACAGCTTGAAGAGACTCAAATCAACTCATCTACACATGCTGCTCATGTTATTGCTAATCAGAACTTCTACCAGGGCCAAAAACATTGAGGTCAAATACTGTCCTGTGACTGTGTCAGAACATTCAACTGTCAGTGATTCTGACTTGCTTTCCTCCGTATTTACAGTACTGCTACCATCTAGCTTTAAAACATAATCACCTGTGTTGCGAGGAGTAACAACTATGTCTAACATTCCTAAAACAGATGTTTTAATTGCACAAAGCATCTGTAGCCGTTCAGTGTGACAGCAAACAAACTGCTTTTCTTGTCTTTTTCTGTCCTGCTGAGTGATTTCTGAGCCAGATGCAGACAGCTACAAAATAAATTTACACATTTTTATTTTCTAATGCATAACTGGGGCCATCCATCAGGCCTCCAGGTGTCTCAGCCAGACAGAGCTGCCTTCACGACGGCAGGATAGAAGCAGAGTTGGACAGGCTCTGTTTTTAATGCGCTGTCGTCATGCTTGTTTGGGCTCTGCCAGAAACAACAGCTCTCTAGTTCTCCCCAACATAGCACACACACACACACACACTTACAGTACATGCAAATATTTAATACCTATCAGTGTCAAACAGCAGGAATTCAAGAGATGGTGGTTCCCAAACAATGTCTGAGCTGGTAATTATGATTCATTTCCTAAATTCTCCAAACACATTAAGAACAACTACATTAATCTGTTCAAAGACAAGTGTGTGTTTTTTACAGGTGCTATAGGTACAGACACATATTTCACCAGGCAGCACATATTTTAGACATAGAATCAGCAACTCCACACACACCTCCAGCAAACTGGTACTCATTTGGCTCATTACTATGTTTTTCCCCTGCACCTAACACATATAATTGCTGCTGTAGTTGTGCAGTGGTCTCTCAGCTCCAGTGCAGAATGGGGTCAGCCAAGCAATTCCCCACCAAACAGTGGAAAATGTTCTTTCTGCTACTGCTTCCTCCATTGCTGGCTGGTGAATTTTGGCAGACGGTGTAGCAGCACAAGCCAAAGAAGACAAGCTGGAGAGGAGTGGCATTTTATCTCTGAAGTAGGATCAAAACCAACCATTTTTAAAGATTTCCTGGCTGTGAGATTTTCTTTACATGTGTTATTCATTTGGGATTCTCTTGATCGAAAGAAGTTATTATTTTTAGTTATAATAAGGTAATACAGACTCTTTGCCTTCCAAAGACTACTCACATAGCTCCAGTTGTGTCTCCTCCTCTCATCTGCTCCCAGTTAGCAACATCTTGAATGCTGTACTGCAGCATGCTCCCATGTCATAAAACACACTGCTTCTCTTCTCACCATATCCTTCTCTTTCTTCCCTGTTTCTCTTGCTCTCCACCCCTCTACTTTTGTCTGGCACTTTGGTTGGAAGATGTTTTCTCAATTTTTCCCCCCCCTCTAAACCACAGAAAAAGCAGCACGCATCTAGCTGCATCTTGGTCCGGACACGCGGTTGTTAAATACTTTGAAAAATGAATGTCTCCTGAATGGCATCATTCCCGTCTGCGTCCCGTCTCTTTTTATGCCTGCTCGTGAAAGTGTGAAATATCTGAGCTGAGAACTTTGCTTTTGAGTCTTCACCACCTTACCCTGCAAAGTGTGGATTTTGTGGTGGTCACATTTGCAGCTCTTGCTGAGCAATGGTGCAGGGCGAGCCTGGGTTGCCTTTAATCAGAGAGATGTATGGAGGGAGAGCACGGGCCTAATGGCAATTAACGCTTGTTCATCTACAAGCTCTGGCCTTGAATGCTTTCAAATCCATCACCCAGCACATGAGGGAGACAACCCAATTCATAACCATCCTCCCTGCAGTCTGCAGTGTCTCTGTCCTGCTTAAAAAAGGAAGTGATAGATCGGACTCTTAATAGCATGCATGGCCATACTTTATTTAGCTAAGTGGACTGGGGTAAAGTTGAGGCCTTCGTGGCTTGACAGATAACCCTTGCCTGTTTGTGTTTCCTCCCATAAATCCTATTTTCTCCTTTTTCTAGAGCCTCCTGTCCGTCCACGACGCAGTTGCCCAAAAGAAGTATGACCCCGAACTACCTCCGCTGCCTGAAGACATCGATGACGATGAAGATTCTGTGAAAATTATAAGATTGGTCAAGAACAAGGAGCCACTGGTAAGTAACTTAACAATCATCCTGTGTGCAGTATCTATCTGTCTCTACGCCTTAATTTTCATCTTTACAGTGATTTTAGGTCATTGCTGTTTGACTTGCACATCATAATGTCATAAAGGTAGAAATGCTGTTATAATGACTATTTTTCTTTTATAGGGAGCAACAATAAGACGTGATGAGAGCACAGGTGCCATCATTGTGGCCCGGATCATGAAGGGAGGGCCAGCTGACAGAAGTGGTTGGTTCCAGCCTTTTTCTCTCTTTTATAAGTTTGCCTGTGTGTGTGTGTGTGTGTGTGTGTGTGTGTGTGTGTGTGTGTGTGTGTGTGTGTGTGTACTCGATTCTACTCAGTTTTCTGTCATTTTCTGTCACTGTGTAGCACCTCAGTTTACATGGGGTCGTTATAGCAACTCATTTAAAAGTCCCATGATGTCATTTGTATGCAACACAAACCCAGCACACAACAGTGGACATGGAGGCGTTGGTATACCTGTCCAATCACACTGTTGGTTTTTCTGCACCCATTTCCCTGGATGCCGTGTTTCAAAAAGGGCAGTTTTGATGTTTGTGAAGGAATCACTTTCATGACTCATCAAGTGACATAATTGACTGGCATCACATGGTGGCATGGAGTCTGTTGACGTCACAGTTTCAGATCAACTCAGGTTGCTCAAAACGACTGCTCTAGTAGGTATCAGGTGCTGCCATCTAATAGAAAACCCTAAAAAACAGAGTCAAGTCAAGATGAGCAAAGTAGATACTAGTGGAAAAGAGCCATACAAGTCTGTAGTGTGGAATATATTGGGATTGCACAGAATTTAGTACCTCGCTTACATCAGGGCGTTAAAATAATAGAATGCCAGAATGACTGCAAATTAGTAACGTCTGTTTATGTGTGGCAGGTTTAATTCATGTAGGGGATGAACTGAAGGAGGTCAATGGAATCCCTGTGGACGACAAGAAACCAGAGGAAATCATTCGTATTCTGGTAAGTCTTGTCTTTCTATGGACGTTTGTGAGACTGAAGGTTTTTCAGCTCCACTCCCTTGGTACCAGCCTTTGTTTATAATGACAGAAACCTCCCCTTATCAACTCATCCACGACCCAGGCCTCCCATTGCCGTGTTGATGGCCGATAGATCACATGCAGAGTCTCTGTGGATGAGGCTGATGATGTGTAGTTCCTCCACGCAGCTTTGGTCACAGGCCTAAATGAGCTCTGTCATGTGCCTGGGATCTTAAACTCTTAAGGCCTTCTCAGACACAAAAGTCTTTGAGCTCTCAACACTCCTCCTTTACACCCCTGCACTGTACTCCCTAATTCTGTCAAGAATGGTTATACTATCCCACTAAACCTTCCTTTGTTGAAAAATCAATGCTTGACGCTATGTCACTGTAACTAGATTAGGTCTCTTATAAAATACTTAAAAGGATAGGAAAACTATCCTTTACAATTACTCCAACTTCTGTTCCTACATTATTTAGGCACAGTCACAAGGAGCCATTACCTTTAAAGTTGTCCCTGGTGCAAAGGACGAGGCATCTATCAAGGAGCCACAGGTAGGTCCTGTCTTTCTCTGTTATTTGGTTTATCCACTTGTTAAGTGATTTAGACCCTTTGATAGTGGAAAGTCATTGAAAGACCATCTTGGCCATCACTTGCAGCGTTTACCATCGATTGCTGTAATCTTTTGAGAATAATCACTCTGAGCTTTGGTGAATCACCTTTAACCATGATGACAATGTTTTAGAAAGAAAACATTTTATATACAACATAGTGAACTTGTTCCTGTTGTGTCTTCAATCCTCCTCTTTGTTTTCTTGCCTTTCCTCATGATGATGTACAGATGTTTGTGAAGGTGCTCTTTGACTACGACCCAAAAGATGACAACACCATCCCATGTAAGGAAGCTGGTTTGGCCTTCAAGAAGGGTTGCATCCTACAGATCATGAGCCAAGATGATGCAACCTGGTGGCAGGCCAAACACGAGGGCGACACAAATCCTCGTGCTGGCTTAATACCATCCAAACAGTTCCAGGAGAGGTGAGAAACACAAGGCTGACCTTATTGGCTCCAGTGCTGTCACTGTCATAGATGTTCCATCTCCTTTCTCTCCCTCTTTAATCCATGTATTCTTGCTTCACTCTGCCAAAGTAGTCTGGGTTTCCACACATTTTCTGGTCCAAAGTGAGTAATGACAGAAAATGATAGCGCTGGTACCAATCCACATTGAACTGCAAGTGGATGGAAAACACACACCAGACCTACACAGAGCTCAGGAGGCTTGGGCAGAAAGAGGAAGGCTGAAGAGTAAGGGATCGAGTAGAACATTTTATATTCAGGTTTATTATTCTACTTTTTTCAATAGAAAGATGTTCTGTTCTTCACCTCCTCAATCTTTGGTTTCACCAGTCTCAGCTGACAGAATAGAAATGAAGGATATTGTAGAGCAGGGTTTCTGTAGCATAGCAGAGTGTTTATTATTCCCAGAGTGACCATGAAAACTGATGGTTTTCTTTTTTCTGTTCTTTCCTTTTTCTTCTCTTTCTTTATCCATCTTTTGCTTTCAGGAGACTTGCATTTCAGCAACCTGTTACGACTCTTTCGTCCTAAGGAGGTCTACTAGACGATCATGTAAGCATATATTATTTGCTGTGTTAGCGACTAATAAACCACAACAAGACAGTTGTCGTTAACAGGTGGATGGGAGGAAGAGAAGAATGGCAAAAGTGAGGAATGCTGGTCAGGACAGTTTGTGGAGTTCATTTCTGAAACAGACTCATCCTTCTGCTGATTCCACCACTGGAGTCTTTCGTGTAGTTGTGTAGTTCATGCTGGTCGTCTGGAGAAGCAATTTAGATTTATCTTTGTTTTCATTTTCCTTCCTGTCTGCTCAATGTTTCTCCCTCTAAATTTCTATCCAGAGTCTGTTCCATGTGTCTTCTACAGCCTCTTTGTGTGTTGTTCACTAAGTCCACAGCATGTCTTTTATCCTGTCTTCCTTTGCTCCCCCCAACCGGTCACGGCAGATGGCCGCCCGTCCCTAAACCTGGTTCTGCCAGAGGTTTCTTCCTGTTAAAAGGGAGTTTTTCCTTCCCAATGTTACCAAATGCTTGCTCATAGGGGGTCATATGATTGTTGTTGTAGTCACGCAGGAGCTTTAATATGAATTAGGAGAGGGTTTGCCCTCTGGCTGTTACTCTAGCTAAAGAGAGATTGATTTTCTAAAAGCTGTGCATAATGCAGATAGCAAAGATAAAAGACAAGTTCATGTGAACTGGTATTGTCACTTGGCTGCCTGGCTTCTAATTTGGATAATCACTTATACTCTTGGGGTGATGATGATGAGGGTAATAACAAGGATGGTTTTGATGGCAGCCTGTTATTCAGCAATTGTCCGTGATTGACTCCAACTGCAGAGTTCAACTCCTTATCATCACTGCCGGAAGAGAGAATGAAGACAAACAGTATTACAGTATTATTACATTATTACCCAGATTTTTCCAATGTAAACATTCCTGGCAGCTCACCCATGGACTTGATAAAGGTGGACTAATCATACATCTTTATGGCAGTTTTCATCACATTCTTTCTTTAAGGTTTAGTTCAAATAAATTAGATAATTAAATCTGGCTAAACTCTTATTCACAGTACAGTAATTCTCATCCTTCTTAAAACCACATTTTGAGGTCGCTGTCCCAACTTAAGATGCCACATTAGAGCAGGAAGAGGGCAACATCAGTGGGAAAACTGACCTGGCCACTGACATTTGAAACAAGATGTCAGATAAAGGTACACACACTTCAGAACAGCTGCCGCTCTCGTGCCTGATGCGTCTAGCCTACAAACAACCTTGCACAGATAGGTCTTGACTGTTGTTTTGGTTAGACATTAATTCTGGACATGCTGAACAACACTCTGGAAAATGAATGCAGTGATGTAAGGTGAGCTTCATACTGTTAAATACTTACAGAGGACTGTATCAGTATTACAATATCAATCATTTGGAGGCTTATGAATCTAAATGGCTTTTTTCCCCCCTGTAAATAGTGACTGCACCACAGACATGTACCGCAGATTGTGTATCACTAGGTAACAATGGATATACATTTCTATCAAAATAGGAGCAAATAGAAAGTAAATGTTTGTTATATTCTCATAAAACCTGAACTCAAGCTCCACTTACTGGTGTTTTTGTAACCTTTTAGTAGCAGCATGGCTTATGAAGGGTTCTGTACGTGTTCTTTTAAACCCAACCTTAAAAAAGAAAGAAGTTAAGGATAAGATTTCCTCAATGAGTTCCATCAATTTATGTCATGACAGCTGAGTGTACTGCAACTTCCTCTCAGGAAGACCTGACGAGTGTTTCAGAACCAAGTGGAACTTGAGTTATTTATATTTGAAACGTAGATAGTTAAACTAGTGATACCATTAGAGTGATACTGGGAGTTACAGTGTAGTGGTCAAGCTCGGTATTTTTCACAAACATTACAAAACTGAAGAGAATTGTTTGCTTTTTCAGTGTTTTGTGAGAAATGACTGAATTGAACCTGCATAGGATGTTGTGGATGTGGCACTCAGCTTTAAAATGTTTTATAATGTTCTCTCTGTTGTCTTTTGCTCTGCTTTTCTAAGATGATGTGACAGTAGAGTTTGGTAGGTTTCTTCTTATATTTCTCCTCATCCTGAGTTATGTTTACTTTCCTAATCTAATATTTTGTTTAGTATTACCTAATTTCCATTCCTTGCTTCTCTTGCACTCAAAGCTGAAGAGATTGAAGTACTACTTTTCTGACATCCTCCACGAGTAGGACTTTACTAACCCAACCATCTGTGATTGGTTCCCCTTCATGCTATTTGTGTGTAATGAGGTCCACTTCTTACCTCATCTCCCCAATTGACCCATTAAAGCTATTCACCATTTAAGAGTAACATTAGTTGTCACAGTCAATGTTCCTCATAGATTTTATTGACTTTAACATTTTACAAAGCCTCATCTTCCTCGACTCATTTTCACAAATGTGGACATCATTTTTGAGAATCATCCCGTCACAAGTAATATTTGTTGGACTCAGTCACAGCACAAACTGATTCACTGTCTCCAAGAATCGTCCAACACCACAGCCAAGAATGTAGTGGCCTGTAAGGCTAAATGGGGCTTAGTCAGTTAGCTGGGACCATCAACATTTTTCAGCATTGTTAGTTCTGTAAAGAAAAAGAGAGTATTTTGTTATTTTGGTCAACTTTAGCTGCTCACTAGATGGAGTTATATGTAACCTGTCCTTGAATTTACCTCTACATGCGTGGCTGTCATCTGGGCAAAGGCCAATATTTAAAATAACGAACACACTATAAAATGTAACTCAAGCAAAATTACCCCAAACCTCTCTGATCACTCTCTTCTTAACAGCACCTGTGTGTTTTCCCTTTATCATATTTAGAGGGCCGCAGCTCATTTCTGACTATTCTCTTTAACTTGATGTTGTGTTCTCTTTGGCTCCTTTCTTTTCATCACCAGAGGATGCTGATTATAGTGGTGGATTTCACCTAGGTGAGAGATTGTCTTCTTTTGTCTTCTTGCCTTTTCCTGCCAGATGTGGTCATTTCACTGTTACAATAAATATGAGGACAGTGGCCAAGTACAAGTTTTGTTTTTTCCACATGAATCCTTCATATATCATCTTCTAAGAACTATTAAGTCATACATGTTTCACGGGACGGAACAGTTGTTCATACCTTTGACCTGTTCTTCTAACTCACAGAGCACTTGTGGGGCAAATAATTCACTTCTTAAACTTCTTACATAATTCACTTTTTGGACTTTAATAGTTTTGTACTTCTCACTGTGCTGTGCTATTTGTGCTCCCATGCTGACAGCATGAGTGCACTGGCAGATCATGTCATGGATTTGCAGTATGTAGTTATCCTGTTCTGCCTCTGCTGTGGTCTGAGGACTTCTTTGAGAGGTTCTGGTTGGAGTTGGCTTAAAAGAAAGGTTGTGTGCTTCGCTGCATTGTGGAGGTCCGGATGAAGGCCGGTCTTGCTGATGTGGTTCCAGTCAGACTTAATGACAATTACCATGGCCCACTTTGGTTCTGCAACCACTTTAATTCCAGAGAGCTGCTTCCAAATCCCTGTCTTGTACAGAAAATGTTTCCCATCGTGTTTTTATACCACTGTCATTTGCACATTTAGACTCCAGATTTCACAGGATATCCAGAGCACACGCAAGTTTATAAATACTACATTTGAGTCATGTCTGCCAAGCTCAATCAGGGTCACTCCCAAAGCCGAACTCTGCCAAACATTATTCCATTTTTTGCCCAAAAAAGTCCAGCACCTTGAGTCCAGCAGCCAAGAACGAGGTTTAAATGAAATGAGAGAACCTCGGGAGAAGAAGTAAAAAAATAGTGAGTTATAATAACATCTTCTCTATGAGAGTACTTGCTGCATGGCTTTTCAGCCTGTTGGATGTGGTTGTATGATTTAAAGTTGGCCTGTCCCTAAAAGTTTGAAATCTTAGAACTTACAGATGCTTTTGCAATGCTGCTGAGGTTGCATGGGGAAATAAAGGAGTGGGAGGGGGCGGCAGTTGTTGTCCTTAGTTTTTGGTTTGTTTTCTCCCCATGCCTCTCAATGATGCAACGTCTGTAACTTCCATTGCCAGAGTCATTCTTGAGCACAACTTTGGGATGAACAGATTCCTGATTTTACAGCCTGCAAACTTGAGAATGAAATCTCTTTAGTAAGCACTGTTTAGAGGCTCTTCGTTACTGTACTTAAGTAGAACCTTCAGGTATCTGTACTTTACCTGAGTATTTACTCTTATTCTCTACATTTTTGCACAAATATCATTTTTAAAACAGGCTCGTTACTCTAGACTCAACAGTATCAGCTGAAATTGAGTCGGAAAAAATGCGTTTGTCTGTATGTTTTAGTCAGCTTGTAGCTAGTGTTACAAAAGAGGAATGAGTATAAAGGGAGTAACCTTGCTTCACAACATAATGTTTCTACAACATTTCTATCAGCTCAACAAACATCAGCAGACTCAAGCTGTTTGTGTGCTGTTCGTCTCAGTGTGTTGCTAGTTAAAGGTCCAGCTGCTGTATTTCACAAGGAGAGAAAGAAAGAGAGCTAACTTCACTCAGAGACGGAGAAAGATAAGAAAGTCAGGTCAGGAGAGAAAGAGTAGAGATTATTTTTAAAGCTGATCTCTGCTCTGGGACATTTAATGACCTGCAGATTTAAAGGTTACATGTCAAAATTTTTAATCACATATCACATATGTGTTTTGACAAATGGTCTATTTTCATTGTGTGAGTATACTAACTTTGTCTTTCTATAATATCATATTTGCAGAATAAACAGGTTAGCTTGCATTAATGTGGTGAAATCACAGTAAAGCTCTGTGTTGGGCTGATACAGAGCAGCTGTGGGGTCAGTGTTAGTTACATCAAGTGTAGAGATTAATTTACATTTAAGCTGATGACGCTTAGATTCATTCACTGATTTCAATCTTTACACCAACTTTCTGTTTTCATTTAACTGTTTGTTTGTGGAAGTAAAGTCGCTTCCTGTATGTATCTGTGTGTAAGTGTGCGTCGTCCCAGCTTGTGTTAAATATGCTCATCTTTTTCCTTCACGTTTTTGCACTTCTACTTTACTGAAGGGGCTTTGAATCAAAGTAGAGATCGGAACTTTGTGCCAGTTCCTTTCTTTTTACTAACTTGTTCGTGTTTGGATCATCTTATGAGGCTTTCCAGAACAAATGAGCAAGCTTCGTTTACCCATACCTGACTTGTTCTAAAGTTTGGAGCACATTCATTGTCATCCTCTCTGTGTAATACAGTTTCCACTGGTATGGAAGACAGGATGGTTGTTGTTGTTGTTGTTGTTGTTGTGTAATTAGTTACCTGTGTTATTTTAGTGAGTGTGTCAGCGGGTGCAAGAGGAGAGAGGGACTGTATTTTGGATGATGATAGACCTATGATGAGTTTTCACCTGTTTGATGTCACCTGGGGAAAGTAATGTTTGTGTGGAGGTGTTTGCCAAGATCCTGAAACAACTATAAATTGAAGTCCACAGTATTTGTATGTGTACATACGGTTGTGCTGGATTTTACACTACTGACAAAGAATTTTCTTTTTTTGTATTGATTGATCTGTTTCTTCTGTCTCCTCTTTTGGCTCATGCTGACCTCCAGCTGGGTTCAGGAGAAGCTTTCGCCTCAGCAGGAGAGACAGAAAGACCACCAAGTCCATGTACGAGGCGAAGAAGAGTGAAATGTACGACATGGCTGACGTGCCCACATACGAGGAAGTCGTCCCGTACCGCAGGCAAAGGGGAGACAAACACAGGCTGGTGGTGCTAGTAGGTGAGTAAAGAGAAATTTAAGTTCTCAAACTCTGATGTCGCTGCTTACCTCACACACTGTTGCTGTTAGGATACCGAATTTAATGAAAATCCTCACCTTCAATCTCATTGTCACATAGAGACGACAGAAACAATAAAGGTGGCCCAGCTCTGCAAGAGAGAAGCTGAATATTATGTTTCTCTATCATCTGTTCCTAAGAAGTGAATATGAATAACCAGAAAGTAACTTTAGATCTTTTGGATACAAATTTTCATTAGTTCATCATTTGATCCTATTAGACATTTGAATTTATATTCTCATCATTAGTGTTTGAGGTCTTGAGTTAACCTCGGCAACTCTAACCACCAAGTACAGACGAAAGAAAGTTTGAATGTCTCATATCATGTTATGGATGTGATAATAACGTGATGAGGAGTTTGGCAGAGTTTATAATTAGATGTTTGTGTGTAGGACCCACAGGTGTCGGCTTGAGTGAACTGAAGAAGAAACTGTTGATCTCTGACCCCCAGCACTTCAGTGTGACCATTCCACGTAAGTGTCCTGTAAAAGAGACATTGGGTGTCAGTGTGACTACCTGTGTAAATAAAGGTTAAATTAAAAAAAAGGAAAAAAGATAACTTCACTCTTCTGATTTAAGCCCACCAAACTTTGGCTGAACAGTACAGTTCATTTGTCTTTCGCTCTGCATATTTCTTTGTTCTTATCTCTGCGTCTTATATGTGAATGTGTGCTTTATACTAGTTAATAGAATAGAAGTTAATTCGCTGACCATTAAATGTGGTGTTCCCAACAATCTCTTTTCTCTTTGTTTCATCCCAAAGAAACCTTTAAACATTTGTGTGCCGAAACTAAAGTTTCTGTCTTTCTTCCGTTCTGTGCTTTATCTTGAATTGAGGATGCAACATAAATGAAATAAAATAAAATGTAATAAAAACGTGGCTGTATTATTCTCACTGTTCTCACTATTTGAAATATTTCTTTACATAGAGAGATTTTTTTAATTATTGAAAAAAAAAACTTTTATAACCAAGTTTTATGACTTTATTGTCTTCCCCCAGCCAAAGTCTGACACTTGAAATGTCCCCGGTATTAAAATCCCATTGGCGTGGCCTTTTTCTCTCCACACAGCCTGTTAATTGTTCTCAAATGTGACCTGTGCTGCTGTTGTTTAATAGAGCCCAGACAGTCTGATTCAGACCCGTATAGGAAACGTATGGCACAGGTCCTGGCTCTCATTGAGAGGAAGGAGAATCGGAAAGTGTCTCGTCTCGCTCTTTTTGAATGTTTGATCGCTGCCAGTGGACACATGGATATGTTTAACACTTGCTGTTGTTTCGGGTTAAGCCCAAAAGTGTTGCTTCTTTTTGTCAATTTGAAAACCGGAGCTTTGGAGACCACCGGCTCTCTCTCTGTCTCTCTGCTTGTTGCACACAAGGAGCATTGCACTATTCATTGCAATGACTCACAGGCATCACTCCCTCTCTTTCCATCTTCATCTTCTTTCACTCAGACACCAGTCGACCCAAGAAGAACCAGGAGACCGATGGTGTGGATTACCACTTCATCTCCAAGCAGCTCTTTGAGACGGACATCCAAAACAACAAGTAAGCAAAACTGATGAATTCAATCACAACACACATTCAGACTTTATGCAGCAGAGATGAACAATTGATATTCATACTCTGGCCAAAACAAAAGTACTTTTTCCCTGGGAAAAAAAAGAGAACAACTTTTTTGGATATCCTGCTGTGTGTAGATTATATGTTTGTACGTCTCTATTTCAAACGGCCTTTCTTTAATGTTTACTATAATGGAGAGAACAATTCTGAATTGTTTTGGTTTATCACCATTTCTCAAAACTCTAATCTCAGAAATCACAGTGATTGTAGAAAATTAATTATAAAAATGAAAGTTGAAAGTTGCTGTTTAAAAAAAAAAAATCCTGCTCTTATGAGGATATATAAAAAAATCTTAAAAGCACAAATTAACATATCTAATACAGTGGAAAAAGGTTTGTTTGTTTTATGTAAACTAGTTTAAAAATGTCCTCCTGATGCTCATTTCAAGATCTATATTTTCTTTCTTGGACAATATATGCAGTTAAAAATAATCCTTGTCTCGTCACAGTCTAAAAGAACCTCTTTTAGCTCAGGTACAAGGCCTGAGCTTTAACTCAGATTACAGTAATTACTCTTCTAAAAACTGACATAATTATTTGAAACTTTGTCCATGTGTCCATCCAAAGATGTGCGTTCGTGCTTTTTCTCATCACTCTTCTTTTCATGTCTCAGGTTCATTGAGCATGGCGAGTACAAAGGGAATTTCTACGGCACAAGTCTGGACTCGATACGTTCAATCCTCTCAAAGAAGAAAGTGTGCCTGCTGGATGTCCAGCCTCATGTGAGTGACACCTTCTTTCTCACCATCCCTGTACTGTATTCTTAGCCTGTTTTGGAAACTACCTGTCTCAGAAGCAGATCGCCCTGTTACTTTATTTGAAGATTTCCTCTTTGGCTTATGTCACCATAAACCTCCACAGTAATGCCATTTCTCAGTTATTGACCAACTGAGTGAATGATGGAAGCTGTTTCCCAGTGGTTCCGCTGCTGCCTCTCCATTAAGTTTTTTATCCATCTTGTTGTGAGTTGTGGGTCTTGACCCACTGCTATTAGCATAGCAAGAAGGTCAGATGATCATGCCAGAACCAGACACCAGACACCACCTCTAATCAAATCTCATCTCTCTCATACCTCTGAAGGCCTTTCAAATTGGACGCACCTACCACGAGCTGGAGCGAGTGGCCTAAAATTTGTCTTGCAGTGGTTGTTGCGCTCTTGTACGTCGAAAACTCGATGGACCAGCTATTTCTCATCCATAAAAAAGAAAGCTTTGGCACTGTCCCCACAAGTGAACACTTGTGTTGTTTCCTCCCAAAGTCTCAGTATGCATGTCAACTTGTGTCATGAAGTTTGTTGAACTCGGAAACACTCACAATCAACTTTTCCTCCTTGTTTTCATTCATTGTGTGGTTGAACTTAGTAGGGCTGTTTGCTTCGTTTCTGTTGGTCGTGCGACGGTACGTCGCAGCAGTCAAAGTTTAACCAAGTTTAACCCAGTTAAACGTTGACCCTTGCATGCAAGAGTACTCTTACCGGCGCACTTGCTCTTTAAAACTGTTATTGAGTGGCGCAAGCAATAGAAACAAATGGGTTTCAGAGCTCTGCACTTGCCGTATCCTATGTGAAAGGCCCTTGAGGTACCAGATTGGCATGTTATTTCAGAAAACTGTCACCACAAAGAAGAGACAGACACAAAGATCAGGCATAAATAAAAACATATATATCCTCCACTATCTTCCAAAAGAATTTAAAAGCTGTGATGAGTTAGTGTGAGTAGTCTTTATCCCTCAGATTGTTGTTTGTGAGTCATTTTTAAATGACAAAAACTATAAACATGATTTCAAAGTTCTAGATTCACTCAGAATGATGGGAAGTCATCTGCTCTGTGGTCATTATTTATTGTTCTGTCCAACTAATAAGTCATTTATGCAAAGACTTCTTCATTCTAGAGAGGTCAATAAGTTAAAAGGTAATTTAAGATTTAATGCTTCAGCAAAACAGAAATATATTCGGTTTACAATGAGAGAATGGAAGAAAAGCCTCAACTTTTCATGTCTGAGGAACTTAAGGCAGAAAATGTCTTTGCTTAAAAATAGAAGGAAGATTTTAATTTTTAATATCTTCTCGATTGGAAATCAGCAGACTGAATCTGTTAAACTGGACTTTGTGACAACCCCATAATCCAGTTCATATCACTATTACAAGTGGACCATGAATTGGCAACCTTTTTTTTTTCAGGATTATATTTTTAAACGTTTTGTCTATTAATTTTTTCACAGTCTGTTTATACCATACGTGACACACTTTGTGATTACGTCTTAATGTGCTGCCAAATGCCTAACTCCTTTTTCTCTGCATCCACTTTTATTCTTTTCAGCTAATAAAGCATCTTCGAACAGCAGAGTTTAAACCTTTCGTTGTGTTCGTGAAGCCCCCGACCGTCGACAGACTGAGAGAGACCAGAAAGAAAACCCAAATTATATCAGGCAAAGACGACAAGGACTCCACCAAACCCTTCACGGTAAAAACTTATTTCTAGTGTGTGGGTTGTACATGGCTGATAGTTTATATCGTATGTTAATCAGATATTACCTCCCTGCTTAAGTTGAGATAGAAAAGCAAGAGGAAATTGTTACTGTGTAACTGTGACTTGGTCGGGTTTAAATGTATCTTTCTCTCTGTCCACACGACCTGTTTTATGTGATTTGTTCTGATGTATTTTTTGCTTGAGGTACATCGTGGTGCTTGGTTGATTCAAACAGATGTTTCAAAGTGCAGCCTTGGGGCAAATGGCCGTTCTGAAGACCAACAAGGAACGAATACAATCCTGTACATTTCATTCAAGCACGGTTCACGTGATACTGTGAAATAAAAATATTTCTCTTCAGTTTCAACAGCTCTATTTGAGCTAATATAGCAGTTAAACCTTCCTAAAGTTGTCAAATCAAGCATAGCATTACTTCAGGCAGGACATGCAGTCAAATTAAGCTGCAATTCCAGCAGATCTTAATTCCACATCAGTTGATGACTCCACTGATACATTTCTAGTCATAGCTCTATCAACTCTATACTGACACCAGAATGGACCATAGAGAAATTACAAACTGGTACAAATTAATTTCCCAAACACAACCCCATAAAAATTAAAAGCCTGGTAGTCAGACCCGATCTGAAATGACCTGAAAATAAGCAGTCTCTGGCAATTATATTACGATGAACTACAAGTCACACACATGCAATCTGCAGTGATACAGTCACAGGACTTTAGTTGACCTCTGTAGAACAACTGGCAATATTTCAGGGCTTCTGGTATAGGCAGCAGACATCTGAGCCAAAGGGTCATTGTTTAGGAATGTAGAAAACTTTTGAAAGCTAATAAAAAGCTAATTTGTCATCAGTCGATAGCCAGTGGTTTCATTTCCACATGTGTTGATTTACCTTTAACTCACATGTCAAATCAAAAGGTCAAACATTACTCTGTTTAAAAAGTTACAACACATATGCCCAGAGCTGATAGTTAGTCAAGTCATATTCACACAAATATAATAGGATCCGACTTATTGAGGCATAATTTAGTGCATTTATGGGTAATAAGTGTTGAGGAAAATGCTAGAGTACAATACACTTTCACCTAGAACATGCAGTGAATTTATGGTTGAAGGTCAGCTTGTTAAACCTTGATACAGACACAGCATCAGCTTATATTATTCACACAGGTAAACATAATTCTGTCTCAGTCCGCTCCTTATTTCCCAGCTGGGTCTTGAGAACAATAAGCTTTAGTTGTCAGAAGCAATCTGGTTGTGAACAGTCTGTTGCAGTTTTAACGTCCCTTTATTAGCTTCTGTTATTCTCTCATGTAATACAAATATACTTCTATAAAGCTGTGTGACAGCGGGCTGTATTTCAACCAGCTAACAAACAAAGTCTCTGTGTAAATGTTCATGTACACTGACAGAACCAAACCCATCTTATATTTACTATTAAATGAAGGGAAGCTGTTGTTGGGCAAGTCGTCCAGACATTTTCAATCCAACGCTAGCTGTATTTTTCTTTGCAAGAGACAGGTCTGCTTTAATGATAAAGGCTGAGGAACAGTCGTCTCATTGTTTCAGTCGAGCTGGCTGGAAGCGTGATGTGAATACAAGCAAAACAATCTGATGTAATGCAAAATCCCAGCTGTAATGTGGTTAGCATAGAAACTGGCACCCAATCTGAAAGAACCACAGGCATTTCAAAGTGATTTGAGGAAATCTCTTTGGTTTCTGACACTTTTTTAAAACGCAAAGACAGGTGGGTTTATTGGCACAACAAAGCAGGTGTCCAGCAGAGAACGTGGTTGCTTGTAAAAGAGGATACTGAGGCTGACACGTGCTGCTTCATGCCACTGAAATGCGTAAAGATTTATAGTCCTGTAAGGTAAAAGCAACAAATGTATAAAGGCTACAAATAAAAGAATTACAATAAAAACAGAGGGAACGTTCACCTAAACTGTGACTCAGTATTTAGTTGCTGTGCAATGAAATTTATCTATGCTGTTACAAAGTACTTAAACAGGCACAAGATGCTACATAACTTCTTGTGGAAATTAGGCCACCTAGTGGGAATAAACGAGTCCCGGGTGTGCTTTTTCTCAAGTTTGGTCCCCCAGAAGAGGCATCATCCTAAACCAATCTTTTCTTTTTAAGTTCTCTGATTTTCTATTCATCTTCCAAACCCAGCTTGCTGTTCCTTAAACGGCTTCCTGCTCAGATTAATGTTCTTGTTGGGCAGACAAAAACACAGCTAATCCATTATGAAGCAGAAACCACCAGAAACATTCTGAAGGAACTGCTGGCAAAAGTCCCTGTAAGAGACAGCTTCATCATGACAACGTGTAAAAGCAAAGCTGTCAATTCATCCGTGGATCTATGTCCCTCCCCTCATCTATGGTCATGAACTTTGGGTAGTGATTGAAAGAACGAGATCACAGATACAAGCAGCGAAAATGAGCTAAAGTCCAATTTAAAGTTAAGTGTTCCCAGTAAAAACACAGCACCCTAACCTACCAAGAGATACCTGGGCTCATTTAGAAAGGCAGTATTTACTTGAATGATAAATGATAAAATAAGTTCTCCAAAAGTTGATTCTGTTCATCTGGACGTAGCGTTCTCAGTGGGAGAAACGTTTCATCAGTCACTTGGATGACTGACGAAAGAGATTTTATTCGTTTTGTGTTTTTAACTTCCATCTATTTTGTCTCTTCTCTCTTTTCCCAGGAGGAAGACTTTCAGGAGATGGTGAACACGGCCCAGACAATGGAGACTCAGTACAGCCATCTCTTTGAGATGGTTATAGTCAACGACAACCTCGATGTTGCCTTCAGCGAGCTGCAGTTGGCACTAAAGAAAGTGGAGACAGAGACGCACTGGATTCCAGTCAGCTGGACTCACTCCTGAGAGACATACTGACTGTAAAAGGAGAAAAGGGAAGCGCTTTGACAAAAATATGCAGGTTTTCTATCTTTTTAAAAAAATATTTGCCAGGGACGGTGTTGGGAAGTAAATCAGGAATAAAACAGTGCCTGGCTGCTGTGTCGCCATACCTGAACTGCATCGAGCTAAAAATAAGCTTCTGCCTGGGATCAGGTTGGATTTAGACCTCAGCTGTGGTCTGGAAGCTCCAGGTCTGACCAGATGTGATCAGGTTGTGGCTGCAGGCTTCTTTCCAGAATCTAAGACTTTGACATTGATCAGGGTCTCAGTCTGGGTCACACATCCATGGCCACAACTTGGAGCGCCTTGGTCCAAACCGGAACGTGGAGCGAGCTTGGAGCATCGTAGCACCAGCAGTCCTGCCAGCACATCAGTAAACCGGCCAAACAGGACTCCTTTAGTGGTTTTATAACATTAGACCATTAGAAACCAAAGGGATTGATGTATTTCTTCTTCGTGGACAACTTACATGTGTTTGTCTGTAAAAGAGCACAGCACCAGGGAAAGAGGAGAAAGGAAAACATACTTGCCTTCTGTCTTACTAGACTTTTGTACATCTAAAATCTTCCATGACTGTTATTCCAAGCAAAACACTGTCAGGTACACTTTTGAGAAAGGGCAATAAGTGTAATTTTATTTAAAAGAAATTAATATATTTTCTAATATCTGCTTGTAGTCCTTTTTATGCATTTTATATACATTTATGACTTTAATATGATCTTAGCTGTAGCCATCTCTGTGACAGCCTCTTTTTACTAGAAGCATTTTTTCTCTCAATCTAGCATTTTTTTGTTCGTCACCCTAGTTTAGTTTTTTGGCTCTGTCAGCTCTACTTGGCTTTATTTGGCTCTATTATCAGCACTGCTACAATTCTCCTAGCTCCAGATTTTGCTCTCTTGTTGATTCTGGGACAAGCTGACCTCCTTTAAATTAAGGGGAGACTATAATTCCAGCTACATTTTTATTCACCAGAATTCACACAAAAACAATCCATATTTTATTTATTTATGCTTTGGGCTGTTGTTTTGTTTTGTTTTGTTTTTTAACTTCCTGCTCCTTAAAAGTATACTTTCTTTGATTGGTTGCCCCTCACCTAGCCTGTGCAAACAGAAACTAGTGCTCGTATGCACTGCCTCCCAGAGATGACCTTTTGCATATTTTGCATATTTAGCAGTGTTTAATATCTGCTTAGTATATGACAAAATACAAGCCAATGGATAAGTTGTCCTTTATACATGGAGGTAGAGCGCAAGGATAGTTGGAGACTGGAAACAATTAGGAGGAGCTAGCCTATGTCTGCTAGTCTTTCTGAACTTGTGATTTTAGTACATTGTTCATCCCTATTAATAACAGTTAGTTCATATTGAATTCATCTCTTAATTTCTGTGCTTGCTCGGCTGATTGCCTCCAATCTCTAGCTGCATTTAAAACTCTAAGAGTGCTATCAGTCTTCCAAAGTCTCAGTAAAAAAAAGCATTAAGCATATTATCCAAACTGTCTAAATGATTCCTTAAACTCTATATTTATTCTTTTTTTTCTTTACTCTAAGAATACTCTCTTACTCTGCTGAATGTCCAGCTCAGGTTGTATGTTTCCAAATTGTGCATCATTTATTTCTCCCTTTCCACCAACTGTGACATATACAAACTTGATTTGTGTCCTTTTTTTTAAGTGTAAGCATGATTGGTTATACTGCTCTGATGTAATATGATTTAAAAGTCTTTAACACTCTTGTCTGCCATACTTTGTCCCAACATTTTTTTGTCTTTTTGTTTATTCAGTTTTTCTACCTCCCCACCCCCCTGCTGCCCATCTTACAGATCAAAGTCACATTTGTACAGTCTCCAGAAAATACCTTTTTAATGTCTCCCTGTAATGATATACTCTTTAAGTGGCACATTGTATGAATTTACATTATTCTTGATAACTGCTGCATTTTTTATTAAAGAAAATACGACTAAACTTGTAATTGCAATGTCCCCAAATTAATTCATATATGTTGTTAGCCAAGCAAAGAGTGAACACAACTTTATGTTTACCAGCACAATCCCTACTTCTCTTTAATAAAATGTTGCATATTTTGTGAATAAACGTAATGAACAGGTGGAGGTGGTGAAAGGGGGGGGGCTCCTAAGAAGAGGATTTAGCCGCCCTCCGCTTGATGTTCAAAAGAAATCCTGTACTGATCAAAATCAGGTTGACTTAACCCAAACACCTTCCATGGTGCTCACTTTGAGAGTAGAGCAGAGCAAAGGAGAGTTAATGGTGTTGGGCAGAGAAGTGCTAGGTGGGGGAAGAGGAGGAGAAGCCACTTACTCAGTTTGTCCACACATTGCTGCTGATGTGTTTCACTCATTCCTGCTTCATAATTAGGATACTAGAGTAAAGGGGACACAAAATGGCTGCTTTCACATACAGTAATGTGGCACTAACCCTCCACACTCCCAAGGCTGTACGCACAAGTGAATGAATGGGCAAATACGTTTTTCCCCCCAAAAGCAATCAAGGTCAGTGGCTCATTTTTAATATGCGGAGATGTACTGGGTACTGGCAACAGCACCTCCAGGCTGTCTAAAGCTTGCACAGTGATGGGTTTAGGAGGTGCTAAGTAAGTGTATTTGACCAAATTTTCTCTTAAATTGTTAATACCACAAGTTGCTTTGCATCTTTTAAGGAAGACACTCTAGCCCTCCTATTGTCCTCATGTCCTGTACACGCCTAGGGTCAAAAATGACCCAAACTCACTAAAAATCTAAAATCTGAAGAACCTTTACCCACTTGTCCCACACCTCTGTTATGGGAGCTATGTCTTGATGCATGTTCAGTCATCCAAGTAAGTAAATCCCCAAAAGTTCTGTTCATCTGGACGTAGCGTCTTCAGTGGGAGGAACATTTTGTCACTCCTCTAAGTGACGACTTTGAGTCTCAGCTGACTGCAGGATTTTCACAACCTTATAAACAGTACCTTTGAACAATGACTGAAACTAGCACCACTGAAAGAACAATGGGCTGTGAGGTCAGTTCCTTGATTATTAATGATTATGGAACCGACCTCAAAGCCCATTGTTCATTCAGTGGGCTAGTTTAAGGCAGCTAGTTTGTCATCACACATCACACATATTGACTCGAGGTTATCAAACTGTATCATCCTTGAGAAAGTGTGACAAATTTTCAGTGGCATTTTGGTACTCACTGTATCTAAGAGACACACGTGGCATAGCCATAGTTATGGCTATTGCCAAGTTATGGCAATAGCCATAACTTCATGAAAAAATCACAATTATAAATTATTTCCCAACACACATAAGATCACCCAGCAGCTGTGTTTTCATACACCTCTCACATGCAAACTATCACACAGAGTGATTTTTATAATTATCTCATTTGTTACACACTAACCTTCCACAGGCTAAATCCTGAACATTTCATAGCTTTTTATTTTACTGGTTTATGTGACTTACTAAACACAAATATTATCCGTGAAAAGTTTACTACACTTCTGTGATCATTAAAATAACAAAGTAGTACAGTACAGGAGAACTGGTGCCAGAGGAACAACCTCCTTCTAAACGTCAGTAAGACAAAGGAGCTGATAGTGGACTTCAGCACTAAGCAGGAGAGGAACTACCAGACCCCTGTCATCAACGAGTGCCCAGTGGAGAGAGTGGACAGCTTCAAATACCTCGGAGTTCACATCACGCAGGACCTGTCATGGTCCTGTCACATCAACACCATGGTGAAAAAGGCCCTTCAGTGTCTCTACCACCTCAGACACTTGAGAGACTTCCAACTGCCCTCCAAGGTGCTCAGGAACTTTTACTCGTGCACCATAGAGAGCATCCTGACGGGAAACATCTTAACCTGGTTCAGGAACATCACCATGCAGGACAGACGACGAGCTCTACAGAGGGTTGTGCGATCAGCTGAGCGCACCATCCGCTCCGAGCTCCCTGACCTGCACTCAATCTACAGCAGACGGTGCTGGACCAAGGCCAGGAAGATCGTGAAGGACCTCAGCCATCCCAACAACAGACTGTTCTCTCTGCTGAGGTCAGGAAAGCGATTCCGCTCCCTGAAGACCAACACAGAGAGACTGAGGAGGAGCTTCTTCCCGCAGGCGATACGGTCTCTCAATCACATCACCACATAATACTGACCCACACATATGGTTCTTACACACACACTGGACATTCCGGACATTTGTTTACACTAGTGGGCACTTCACAACTACACTGCATGGTCATCTAATCAAATCACTCACTTAGTCACACGTCACTTAAATAAATCACTTTTAAGCATTTTTGCACTGCACAAGACACTTAAATATGTGGATTGCACAACCCTGGACATTACATTTCTTTCATTACCATTTATTACTTGTACAGCTGCTCTTATTGTTCTATATTTCTTCATATATTCTTATATATTTTCTATATTGTGTATTTTGTTGTACAGTTATTTTATTTTTAACTTTCTTTTTTTTTTAAATTTTTATATTTATTTCCTATCCTATTCATAGTCTTTTATTTTAGGTCACGAGCAGTTGTCTAAGCATTTCACTGCATATCGTGCTGTGTATGACTGTGTATGTGACAAATAAAATTTGAATTTGAATACAGTAAGTGATTGGGTCGCAGGACATGACTTGTAGGCTCCTAACATGTTCACCAGCAGCTGAAAAGATTGCCAACTTCAGTAAGTGACAACAACGACACTTGACACCACCTTTCTTCTTCTTCTTCTTCTTCTTCTTCTCTATATAAAAAGTCGTTTTCTATCGTCATGTGTCAACTGAAACAATTGGTTTTGTGAATTTTGACTTAACTCGCTTGCCGTTTCGTTTACCAGTGTCATGGCAACAAAAGTGGGAGGGGCACTTACTAGAGCCGATAGTGGTCTTGTTTCTATGGACACTGTGGTTGACTAGCTACCAGTAAAGGTGTTGTAAAGCAAGTTAAAATACACGGTAAGTTTGTACTAATACAGGTAAAAAACAGATAGTCATAACTTCATGACAGACAGCGGAAGAGACTTGCTTCATGGTGAATTAATGAGGAATACCTCGGTGTGGTTTCAGTTGTTGTATCTAATATTAGCTGAAGACCATCGGCTTTTCTAATAACGGGACTCTGTAGCATAAAAATACGCTTAACTGTAGTCTGTCTTCTTTTTTTTTTAAAATTATCCATGAATCCATCCAGAAATATTTATTTATTTCCTGTCATATCCAACAAGCAAACCAAGACTTAAAAGGCTGTTTTAAATGGTTCCTTTGTTAATGTTAAGTTTTAGAGTATCCCAGACACAGCGATGGGGATATCATTGACCAGGGCTGCCCAATGGACCATGGTCAGCTCCAGTACTGCAAAGCTGGCATCCACACCAATGAATGAGTCCTTGTTGAAAGAAATCCTGCACTTTGTGGAGCACTTTAGTTCCCAACACCCACAGGAAGCTGAACATGTGTTTGAGGAGCCACTCCAGTGGAGTACCACTTTAGTGCCGTCTGATTTCAAAACAGACTACGACATCAGGTTGGTCTAATCATGAAGTGGGCAGCTGGCTGGCTCTCAGTATTATGTGTCTGTGCAGGATTTGCTGTCACCATGGTCTCCAAATGTTTTTACCTTAGACATACTCAAAGCTGCATGTGGACTGTAATTAATTTGTTTTTCAGCTTCAGTAAGATTGAGAACGTTCCACTGTATTTCATCAGAAGTACAAAAACAAAGACTCAGATCTCCATTAAGCATTTCAGGCAATT